ACAACAAGCCTGAGGGACATGTGCATGAAACTCATGGCCACAAAATAACAACCTCATCTGAACATAGACATGGAAGGGAAGAAAGGGGACATACAGAAAGAAAAGGTATCCAATATATTAGATATGATTAGTAGTGTATTTAGTAGTTTAATGTGCACTCATTGGACACTTTGTTAGGTATACATTGCAAGTATTGGATTGAACTCCATTTTGCTGTCAGAACTGTATTAATTTTTCCAAGTGCTCAGAGATGTTAGTTCTTATTGACGTGATAGTTTGGAAGCCATTTCCGTGCAGTGTTGTCACAACCAAGAAACCAGATAGAGATAATTTGAGCTTTTTGACACTGTTTTCCTTCTGGAGGCAGCCATCAGAAGATAGGTACACTATAGTCAAGTCCATGGATGGTACTCATTTGGAACTGTTGGAGCCCTAGGTGTGCCAAGAAAATATCCACTATACCATTAGGCTGAACAGCCTAAACCATTGGTTAAGAAGGATGGATGGATGGTTTCATGTTTCTGTCATGTGAACGTTACAGCAGAAATCAAGACTCATCAGACCAGGCAACATTTTTCCAAACTTCTGTTGGCTAGTTTTGGTGGGCCCTTGTAAAATCAAGCCTCAGTTTCTTGTTTTCAGCTTGCAACGGTTGATTGCTGTGTGGTCTTCTACTGTTGAAGCCAACCAGTTTCAAGCTTTCAAAGCTTTTCTGCTTTCCTTGGTTTTAACAAGTGGTTATTTGAGTTAATGCTGTTCCTATTAGCCCAGGGCAGTCTGGCCATTCTCCTCTGATCTCACCAACAATGTATTTTAGCCCAGAGAACTGTTGTTCTCTGGATAGTTTGTCTTTCTTTGGAACCATTCTCTGGATTCTCTCCATAAAATCCAGAGATGATTGTGTGACAAAATCCCAGCAGTTTCTGAAATACTCAGGCATCACAAACATAACATTTTCAAAGTCACTTAAATTTCTTTCACATTCTGACGCTTGGTTTGAATTCCAGCAGGTCATTTTGATCATGTCTATGTGTTTAAATAAATATAGAGTTGCTGCCATGTGATTGGCTGATCA